AAACATGTTTCGAGCCATATTATAGGGGCCATGACTAGCCCGAGAACATATACGGGCCTATTCAATGAATTGGCGGTTTCGAGTCAGTTCATGAACCACCGGTTCCGAGCCGGTTCAATTTATTACAAAAATAAAAAATTAAAAAAAAAAACAAATTAAGTTGAATCGTCGGTTTTGATTTCAATTCGGAACCGAACTGCCAGTTCAAAATTTATAATTGCTTGAACCGGAACTGCTAGTTCAAAGTTGGCGGTTTCGAGCAAGTTCATGAACCACCGGTTCCGAGCCGATCCAATTTATTACAAAATAAAATAAAAAAAAATTAAGTTGAATTGTCGGTTTCGATTCAATTGGGAACCGGACTGCCAGTTCAAAATTTATAAATGCTTGAATGAGAACGTGCCCGGGTAAAGCCACATGCTGGTATAAAGCCCACAGTCCATGGGTTGGTTTCCGAGTCCGACCCGTGGTCATGTTTATGACAATTGTGTTAATTAAATATTTGTATTAGGTAAAATTACTAAATTTAGAGCATGCTTGGATACAAAATTATCTCAAAAAAATCCAAACAATTTTAACTCAACCATTTTTTTAACTCAACTTTAACTCAACCCACTATCATCAATATTATCAATATAATTAAATAATATCAAATCAATCATTATTACACACCGCATCACTTTAATTTACTATTCATCTACTCACATATTTTTAACTAACAATTACTTCAAATCTCCTCTCTCTTACTTTACATCAAATCAACTTCAATCATTTAATTTTAAATATTATTTTAATATACCACCTAACAACTAACCATACTAACTTTTCAAAACTAACCAAACCAAACAAAAAAATCCAAACAAAACCAAAAATTTTTATATCCAATCATCCTCTAAATACTTGTGTTCAGTAAAATTGGATATTAATGTTGTTGTCATTTAAAATTACTTATGAGTAACATTCATATACTTAGCTATTTATATGTGTTACAATATTTAATTATTTAGAAAATCACTGTAATTTATATTTTTAATATTAAGTAAAATAACTAAATAATGATATGAAAATATAAATATAAAATATTGATTAACAATATGACAATACAAATATAAGGAAATATCATAACTGAAAATAATAAATATAATTTTTAATATTTTGAAGTAGTACACGATATTGTACAAGTGCTTATAATAACAAACAAACTACTACAACTTAAATTAGATTTGTGGATGCTTAATTTTTTATTTTTTTTTTATTTTTTATTTTTTTTTTTGCACCAATAGAGCAATACCTTCTATTAGTACTATTAAATCAAACGTGTCTTGTTTGGTTCGACTCGAGTTCGGCTCGACTCGTTTATCGTCTCATTTGATAAACGAGCTGAGCTCGAACTCATTTATTAATGTTCGTTAGTCCAACTTGATAAGACTTGTTAAGGCCCAAAATTTTAATTTTTTTTATATAATTTTCTATACTTCGGCTCGAACTATCGGCTCTTTATTAGTGATAAACAAATCGAGCTTGATCTCGATTTTAGGCTTGTTTATCCAATAAACCGAGCTCGGCTCAACTCGTTAAGGGCTCGAGCTCAAACTTGAGCACCCTAAGGTCGAGCTCGACTCGACTCGGCTCATTTACAAGCCTACATGGTACTAGCAAGATGTGTATTTTTTGCTTTTTTATTAGAAAAGCTGGCTGAAAACTTTAAATCTACCAAACATAAATTTTTGCTTTTGTAAATTAGTCAAACAACTAAAAATGATTAAAACACCAGAAGCTATCAAAAGTCCAAAGAAATAAAAAGGCTAAAGGCTAGGGTTTTATTAAATGCATCATGACGAAGATGAAGTTTAGGGTGAAAATGAAATGAATTTTTGTGGCACATTGTCACTTATACGTTACTGAATACTTAAAGTTCTATTTAACAAAGTATATCAAAGTTATTTTACTACAGAGCCAGCATGAATAATAATAATAATAATAATAATAATAATAATAATAATAATAATAATAATAATAATAATAATAATAATAATAATAATAATAATAATAATAAAGAGGGAGTTAATGGAATTGAGGTTACTAATAATAAATGTAAATGCTTCTTTTGGAAATTGTATCAACAATATTTTTGGAAACAAATATATAACTAGTATGTTTGTCTTTTTAGTTTATTAAATTAAATCATTCATGATAATTAATTATCAATTTAATATAGAATGAGTATTTTATATGACTTGAATCACAAAAGAAAAGTAAATAATCATTGAGAAAAGTAAATAATAGTGTAGATTTTGAATTGATTCTCAATATGTTAGGTAAATTTGTTAATCTTATAGAAAACATGTAAATGAATTTTATTCGTAGATGTTCATTATTGGTCGTGGCCATTTGAATATTTATGTTGCTTTGTTCAATTGATTGCAAGTGATGGAATTATTTTTACATTATATTGTTCTTTCATAATTCAAGAAAAATGAATTATACATTAATATCCTACAATCTTTGCGCAAATTTATCGACAACTGAATCATTTTATTTTTGTTTTTCTACAAATAAACTAATCCAATTTTATTTGTATAAGATTCTTTCCATATGGAA